CGGCTACCCTTTTCCTGATGACATTAGGATCGTTAGTATCCGTAGGTTTACTCTATTCAGATCACTACTTATGCTCGGCAAATTGTCAAATTTCGGGTTGGAGTTCATCGAAGTTGGGACAATGTTAAGCAATACCAGCCGGCTATACTATAGCAATTACAACCGAGTATTTTTACTAATTTCAAACAATATAATCTTAAAATATACTCATGCGTCCTTAAATGATCAGCTGTTAATCTCCTTTACTAGTTATTGTTATCATGTTTATTATTTCGTCAATTATGATTGACTTGTTTTTACTATAGTATAATTCTGACTCTTAAGCCTAAACTTTAAAGTTTCGAGATCATCGAGTGTTCGGAAACCGATCTTACATCTGAAGAATTAGACTATAAAATCCACATAGTTATTTTTTGTACATTATAACGAATTTTTGACAAAGTATGAAATATTAATTAGTTTTTAATTCAGCCCTTAATATTTAAAACATATTTAAAAAACCTAATAAACTTCGGTATTTTATAATTTTTCAACAAATTTTTAATCAAATGTGTCGGCATTAGCATCTTACATAAGTGCTATAGTATTAGCGCTTAAATGGATTTCCGTTTTTAATTAGTTATATGGTAATAATGTTAGACACTTTGAAAAATTTCTAAGAATCAGATTCATACTCAGAATTCCTTCGTATATTATTTCTTTAATACCTATAACTGTGAAATATCTTTGTTTTGAAAGAATGTCGATGTCATTCCTGGCTTGAAGAAATGATTATGAAAGCAATAGATGTAAATTTAATTTAGTTTGTTATTGAATAAAGTATGATACTACTCAACTCTTGATTTAATAAATTTATCTATTTTTTTTTTTTTTTTGAAGTTTCCTAAATGTCTTTTTTTTTTCTTTAAAAAGTACATATATAAGTATATACATCAATTATCCAATAACTAATGTACTTTCGCCATCAAAATCATATTCAGGAATTTCAAGATTAAGTGGGGCAGGACCCTTTCGAATTCTACCAGATATATCATAATGGGAACCATGGCACGGGCAGTACCAGCCTCCATAGTCACCAGCTTCACCAATTGGAACACAACCTATAAAAGCAGTATATATGCGTAAGTTTGAAATATCAAAACTATTATCGTTATATTTCATGCTAATTCATAATAATAATTACCTAAGTGTGTACATACACCCTACAAAAAAAAAAAGAATGTGGTTAAATAATCAGGGGATATAATTAAATTATCGAAGGAGGGATAATATTAGACATTAAACATAATTGACAATAATAAATCAAAACTTACGAGCATAACTAGCCATTCAGGTTTTTTAACCCTGTCAGAATCATTCTGAGGATCTCTAAGTTCACTTAACTGAGTTGCATTCGCATCAGCAATTTCGCTAGCAGTTCTATGCCTAATAAAAACAGGTTTTCCACGCCATTTTATAACGACATTTTTACCCTCAGGAATCTTTGTTAAATCTACTTCAACTTTAGCCAAAGCTAAAATATCAGCAGATGCACTCATATTTACGAGAAAATCAGTGATAGAATTTTTAGCACCAACAGCTGTCAAAGCGCCAGTAGTTCCAACCATCAAATAGGTAAATGCACGAGAAGTATTTTCATCAGCATTCTTTCGATATTTAGAAAAATCAGGGACTATAGTTGATTTACTAGAATCTACAGCGGTGGATGAAGAAGATAAGCGCCTCTGAGAAATACCGGTTGAGGGGGCAGCTTAAAATTAATTGAGGAATTGTTGGTTAATAAGCAAATCGCGTAACATATAATCGCAGGGAAAAATTCAAGTTGTTTATATAAAATCGAAGTATAATAATTTAAGATGAATATAAGATAATTAACAGCTTACCATTTAAAATGGATTTTGAAAGGATCGAACCGTCAGATCGTCGTTTAGCTCCAACGATCAAAGAGTTAGGGGAAACATGAAAGTCATGGCGAAATTTATTGGAGGATTCAAATAACTTTTTAATGGCAACCGCAGTATAAGGAGCATTAATAAAAGTGCGATTTAACGCAGCGGTGGCAAGCCTCGGTGAAACAGCCATAGTTAATATGCACGAACGAAAAAAGAGCGATTAAAATTTCACGAATGATTAATAAGTCCCAACAGGAATTACGTAATACCAATCCTAGGAATATCGATGTTTGCTTTTTGATAATCTACAAATTTATTTACCATACAAATAACGATATAACGATAATCGTATATATATTTATAAGCTTTTTAGGACAATATTCCAAGCTTCGTTTAATTAATAACACACCATAAATGACTTTATATTTGAATATTACTAGAGCTTCATATTTGTTATTCGTATAACAGATAATATCGTAATTATCTGATATTCAAGTAAGCAAATTTATTCGGGGTCTTTTTTCGATAAACAGTTACACGAACTTTTATAGCAGTTTGGTATAAGTTAGTAATTCTGTTTATATAATATGTAAGAAGTAGACAGTTTATTAAGAATTTTGATATGAAATGATTTTAAAGTAGATAATTAGAAATTATATAAATAGGTTAAAATTTTTTGGTTATTATTTATATACAGTATAGTTATATAGTAAACTAGTTGATATTAGTAGTAATTTTTTTTTTTATATAATTTGGCTGCCTGCTCTATTTTATTTGAGACTGAAGCATTCAACAAAATCATTACAATCCTGTATCTTAACTTATAGCACCTGACCAAAATATGGGCTCACCAACACTATAATCAAGTTATAGATGCTAATGCGGCCTGCTTCAGCTGGCCTTCTTCTGGGTTCTCAACTTGCTGTAAACTTTTTTCTCATCAGTCCTTGGTTGACTGCTACAGGCTCATCAAGAAGCAGAAAAACAAAACAGGAAATACTAAAAGGAAGAAAAACAGAGATATAGGAGAAACGGTAAAAAAAAAAAAAATACAAACAAAAAAAGAAAGGGGTAGAAATAATAACAAGAAAATAAAACAAAAATATTATCTTAATGTCACCATTATGAGCTGGTAAAGGCTTGTAAAAATTATATACTACTAAACAAGATAGTCTCTACTTTTAACCTAGTATATCTAAGTAAAACCCAGATGGAAGAAATTTTCTCGACTTTGATTCAAAATACTTTCTCTAACAAATAGTATCCCAGTTGTAGAGAGATCAGAAATATGTCTCAGAGCATTGTTTGTATGAAATGATAATCTATTCGAGGTATATGAATTTACGTGTTTGTTGTTACTAATCTGATTTGGAAAATAAACAATGCTGACTAATTAGAACACATGATGTCGATCTTTTGAAGAAGTAAACTGAAACATCTACTTTTTACAAAATTTTCTCAAAGAAAAGTGGTGGGTTAATGGATATATGTGAGGTTCTTCTTGTAAGTTTTACAGTTGTATCATCTAGTTTCTAAACTTCTTCTACTCTTGGTGAGAGCCTAGCTACTCCTGTTTTCAGAATAAACTTTTGGTTTGGATATCAAATATTTTTGAGAGTCTACCAGACAAGAAGCTTGACTCAAAGAAAAACTATCAGAAAACGTCTGCTTCTCATTATATCATGTTTGACTTAGGCTTCATTGATAACAACCTACTTAATGTAGGATCAAGAGTATTATCTATTTAGTTGCTTTTTTATACTTTTTGCTATAGTTTGGTTTTTTTTTGTTGGTCAAGAGATCATTGAAAAAAGTTGAATTTGATTCAAAATATATTAGTAGTAATTTGAAACTATAGTTAAATCTATATTAAGATATTTACAAAGTATAAATATTAATATAGCAAATAATACAAATAGTATATTAGATTAGTAGCTTTAAAAAATACTCATCAAATCAAAGAGTATATATAGTCAGTTATAAATATTATAAAATTTAAAAATAAAATAGTTTAATATAAGATGATATAGTATTAAACAAGTTGATTAGCAAGATTATTAAATTAGTTCTCTTAATATATAGTAACTTTCACAAATCAAATACCAAAATATTAGACAAAATATCAGCTGTCTAATATTCCTATATATAATAATGATATTTTATTAAAATATCTATAAGGGATATAGGTCGATTATATCTTGCCGAAATCAGACTAGAATTTTAGCTTTTGAACTGAAAGTATTAGTAAATATTGGCTGAGAAAATATCTTGCTAAAATTAGCAAAAACAGGTATTGGCCATCAATATTATTTTGAAAAATAAATAATATTTTTATATAATATGTTGTTTAAGTGTAGTTATTTATATAAAAATTATTGTATAATGATAAAGTATTTTATCAGATATGTACATATAATTCTTAAATATATCAATATGCATAAAACATCAGTTTCTGATCATTTTAAAATAGTAATAAATCACATTTTATAATCTGAATAATTAAATTATATATAATATAAATTGTATATAATTAGATATTATATTTTCTATTTAATAGAATTATAGATATATATTTATAAGACTTCCGTGAACTAACAGTATAAGTATTAGCAACAAATCTACCTAGTATATTATGTATAGGAATTATGCAATCACGATCTATATCATAAAACTCCTTATTCTATAATTCCACATTATATAGTTTGTCATCATTTTTGCTAATATTAAGATGATATCTTAATTTTTTATCTTTTACTTTTTTATACCAACAGACATATGCGAGATTATGCTTTGTTGATGCTTCTGGGTAGTCGATAGAATGCTCAAAAAAAAACTGGACCTGGTCTGGATATGTAATCACATTATCACCATCTGAAAATTTTGCAAGTATTCTTGAAGAATTTTCATGTCTCTTTGAAAAAGTTGAACTAAAAACTTCTGCACTTATTTGAATTCTTTCATATTGGTTTATAATAGGTGATACGGCTATCGATCTATTTGATACTAAATCCACTGAATAAACAAATATATTAGTTTTATATACATTATTATAGTATTTAGTGAGTAACTTCACGAATTCTTGGGAAACATAGGCGTTTATTTTCTTTGGTATAAGAAAGATTCCAGGAATTGAATCAGACCCAGTACCAGTACCGATTCCTTCTTCAATTGATCTTGACATTGAAATAAATTCTATCACTTTATTATTGGATATATCATAAACACTTAAGCTTCTAGCTGATGGTCTTGGATCCAAAATAGACAAGCTTTCCAATAAATAAGTATTATTACTGTTATTAATTAATCCATCAACATGTTTATTTCTTTGAATGATGTTCATAAGTTTTGATTTAATTTTTCTATTACTATTTTTATAGCTTTCTATAAAAAATAAATATATATATTATATATATTACTTAGATTATAAGTCTATCGTAAGTCAAAAAAGAAAATTTGAGTTATTAAAATTTTTTATTACAAATTTCCTTATTTGAATTACGACATATAAGTGGCGGTAGAATTCAAAAAAAAAAATTTAACAATAAAAATGATTAGTAATCATTGTTAAAATTGCTTTTTTTGAAATTTACCGTCTTCTATAGCTACGTATAAGATTGGGATCATAGGTAATTTATATGCTTTACGTGATTTACTTTACAATTTTAGTAATAATTAATTTGGTTTAAACGAATACTAAAATAGGATATAGGGGTATCAGCTAAATTATTAATTTTTCATATATTACTTACCTAGTAATTCATTTATTCGTTCAAACTGAAGCACCAGAAAGAATTCAAGGGTCTATAGTCTAAAGCGCATTCATATATATGGAGACTTAGGTGAATGTTTGGTGATATTTTTTCGGAACTATATATTTCTTCAATAATTTTTATCATCGCTATTAGACATTGATGTGCTTCTTTCAAATCTTTTTCACCAATAATTCTACAAACTAATATGCTACACATCTGAACGAAATAAGTCAGAATTTTTCTATTAGCATCACACAACAGATCCCAACAAATTGTGGTTGCATATATAAGGATAAAGGTCTTCTATTGATCTGCTGTGAATCTTGAAAATCTTTCTTTGGTAAAAATTTTGTGAGGGATTCTACCAATATCAGATGATACATCGATTTGGTTGGCCGACAACTTCATAATTTCTAATTTTTGAGGAGTTAACTAGTCACCTTCAATCCATAACTTAGTTATAATCCATTTTGCTATACCCAGAAGAGGCAATATATTGGGTCCACCACCAGAAACCTAACGGAATTAAAGTATAAAAGCCTGTAGATTTCTGACCATCTGATAAAAGTATTAGAAACGTGCTATTTTCTTTGATCTGCTATTTTACAATTTTTCTATTTTATAGTATTGTTTCAGATAAAGTTGTGGTCATGTTCTACAAACCAGGAATCTATATCAAAAATACCACCAAAATGAGATTGATTCTAAATATTATAATTGGCTCTCTTATAACAATAATGACATATGACCTTAGCCAAAATATGTCTACAAAGCTTTCTTGCTGCAGGTAAATCACTGGAACAACAAATTACAGCACATTTTATTCTCTTGCCAGATGGAGACTTAAACATAGCTGATAGGTCTATCCCTTCCCAAAGTTCTATAAACTGATCAACAATAGATGCTAAATAGTGATTCAATTGATACAGCTTTGGTTCCAAAGATCCAGGTATGACAGCCAATATTATTATATTAGATGGTTTAAACTTTTCATATAAATATAAGAAAAAAAGAATGAATATAAGAAAAAAAAGAATGAATGTAAAAAAAAAAAAAAAAAAAAAGAATGAATATAAAAAAAAAACTAATATAAAAAAAAGGAAAGAACAGAACAAAAATCTTTTTTGACAAGGAAGATTACATATAACAGCATATATAACTCCCACACTATATTGAAAAGATTCGAACAGTTGAAACCAATCTAAATTTATCATCAATCTGATATGGCTATCGGCTGTTTCTGGGCGAAAAAATAGAATTCTTTCATCATCAGAAAATAATTTCTATATCCTACCATCATATATATCTAATAATTAGTTTTTGGATAGTCAATAGGCCCATCGTCTATATGCCTTTTCAAACCCTAATCTCTGAAACAACTTGGTGAACGTTTGTTTAAGATTTAAAACAGGATAAATGGATATCGGCTTTCTGACTA